TAAATAGATGAAAAATTCAAAATATTGTTTTTGATCAGGTATTACCTTTACCTATAGAAATTATGAATGATTAAAAGAAAAAAAGAAATATTTTGAGTTAAAAAAGTTTCATCGGATTTCCTATTATGGTTCTATTTAAATATTTTATAAGGACGCGTACAAAGAATATTTTTGTGATGGTTACTAGATTGCTTTTTTTTCGTTAATAAGGAATTAATGTTCCTATAGTGGTACCCATATTGATTGACTTTATTTGGTATTAGATTTGAATAGTGAACATTTTTCCCGGCTCTTTTTGGTGTAGTGATCATCTTCCCCGCCATATTTTTTGATAAAGACATTTTCCCCCATTTTTTTTTTTAAAGTTTACTATTTAATAATATCATATTATTTATCATGTAATATGAATTTTTTTTTGCTTATTGTCTAATTTTGTCCGAGTATAGAATACATTTTCAAATTGTATTTTCATAAATATAATAATAATTATAGATGTGTGTTTTCAATCATTGTTTACTTAAAACGATATAAACATATTTATATCATATAAATTTAATATTAAAATAATAAGTAATGTTCAAAACAAGTATTATAATGCACAATATCTATTTGACACAGTAAATAAAAAAAAAATGTTTAAAAAAATGAAGCAAAATGTTAAATAAATAAGATAGCTAAAAGATTTTCTAAATAAATAGTGATAATAATATTTTATTTATAATAGGTACTCGAGTAGGTACTATAAATAATAATTAATAAAAATGTTTGGATTTCTGAATTATTAAAAAATGTGCAGGAAAGATGTCCCTACAACACCAAAAAAAGTTGGGGAGGGGGCAGAATGTTAATTTACCATTGATTTTCAACATGAAGTCAAGTTCACCATAGAAAAATGTTATTGTAATTTGATTCGTAAAGTGAAAAAAATATTGTCTATAACAAATACGGTAAGCGTCAGGGCCGTAATTAGGAATTTTGACACCAAGGGGCAACAAAAAAATACAAAATACAAATTTAAGTTATAAAAAAATTAGCTGCCCTCTCCTACTCAGCCAACTGGGGCAACAGTACCCTATGGCTCCCCCCCCTAAATACGGCCCTGTATAGCGTATTCACAACTTAATTTATTTTTACTAAATTAGATTAGAATAGGCATCTATGAYTTTTAGAAATAACTATACTAATTATGGGCTGCCCCTATTATAATAAGATATAACTAGGGCCCGTTAGTTATAACTAATGCGTTTATACGAGGCTTGTCTGTACATAAATGTGATTTATGTTATGTATAGTTCAATGGAACCATTTTTATTTTGCATTTTTTACATTTTTCATCAATTTTTGATTATACGGTCATTTTATAGTAATTTTGGAGCATTCTTTGCATTTTTGTAGATATATTTACATTTTTTACATTTTTCTTATAATATATTATTTTGACAAAACTAAATATTTGTAAAAACTAACATATTGTGCAGCATATTGTATTACTGACATTATTTCTTATCTCCGTTTTAAATTTAGACCGCGTTATTAGACACTGAAATTCAAAATAAATTCAATAATGTTTTAGAAAAAAATAGTGGTTACAAAAATATGCAGATTATTTCAAAAATGTTAGAAGGAGAAGAAGTGACAACAGAAGGCTTGCCAGAAGATTTGAATATAGATGACATCACTTTTTTCAAGTATGCGCCAATCACATCTGTGGAAGTGGAAAGAAGTTTTTCTAGTTACAAAACTCTATTATCGGACAATCGGTGATCTTTCCTTTTCGAAAATATTAAACACAGTTTGATAGTTCAATGTAACACAAGTATTGTTTAAAAATATTTACATAATATTTAATGATTAAGTACTAAAAAGATATGACATGTATAAAAATATTAACATTATTTAGATGAATAAAATTATAATTAATAAATGATTTTAAAACGATGATTTATTGTTAAAAAACAAAATTTTTGAAAATTATAATATTTTTTGGTATTTTTAGGGTCATTTTTTTGAGTCATTTTTTGATGTTTTTAAGTCATTTTAATAGTTTTTTTTTGTGCATTTTTTAAAGATTTTTAGGTCATCAAGTTCCGGGCCCTAGATATAACATACTATATATATGGCTATATAWGGCACTTAGTTGCATATAGTATAGAGTGTAACAGGGCTATTTGACTAATGCTACAACTTTTTTTTTTATACAACATTTTTAATTTTTGTTTTTTATGATTTCTAAAGCTCTGCATCATAATTTGTTACCTATATTTTATTTTATTTTTAAAACTAAAATTAAATACTTTAAATTTTTTCTTATAATCCAAGTTAGCTGTTTTATAAATAAGTATTTATAAGCAGTTTTAGCGTTTAAAACTTTTAATTCGGTTATGCCATTGATTTTTAAACAATTTTCAAAGTTTATTAAAATTAAAATTTATTTCTTGCTAATCAAATACATATATTTTATCATTATTTAACATCCCTTTTAACATGACCAATGACCACGTGATACATACCTACCACCACCACTATTCAAATAGACCGGTTATATTCTGTATAGGGAGGTAGTTGGTGGTTCACCAGGGCTATGGTCCATAGCAGTGACGTATTTAGGAGGGGTGCAAGAGGGGCTTGAGCCACGGGCAGTAGATTTTTAGGGACGTTACATTTTGGAGAGCATTTTGATATAATACGATACCTAGGTCATTTGGGCGAAAAAAAAAGTAAAAGCACCGAGATACTAATAAACTATCATGGTTTTTTTTTTTTTTACAAACGTACCTATTACTAGAGAAATGTAGGTTGAAAGGAGGCGTTTCTTTTTCTTACTTGGGGCGCAAAATTCCTAAATACGTTTCTGGTCCATATATAGCGAAATCCCATAACATATTCATTCAAATTTATAGCTCTACGTAGATGTAGTAACACATAATCATGCCCTCCCTCTCCACTGAGAGTCTCCAACTACTTATCCTTTTATTTAAATAAATGTAATTAGCTTACACTGAATATACTTTTTATACATGTCACTGCATTGTGTACTCAAGTGTATTTTTAACAATACATCAAAGTTTTTTGCTTAATATAGTTTCTACACGATTTCCAGTTTATCTTGTCACGGGCCGCGGCATTGACGGGTACAATCGMTGCAGTGATGGGTAAAAGTAATATTTAAAATAAGCTTATAAAGTGTAAGTACGATTCTGTAACACTGACAACTGCAAAGAGCTTAAGGAAGGGCTAAAATATAATCACGTGCTTGCGTTTGTTGACACCGTGCGTATGGCAGGTCACAAGTGGTGGACGACCGTATAGACATAATAATTGCATAGACCGAATTTATGTTATCTGTCAGTGCCAGACCACAATAGTAGGTAATAAAATAAAAGACAAAAACACTCCAAATATTTTCAAACAACCGTGGGAAGAGTGGACGTTTAGTTTAAAATATTTTGACTGTAACACAGATTGGTGATTACTGATTAATAAGTTAATAAGTAGTATAAATAGGTCGCATGAAATCCGAAACAACAATATTTTATACCTCTTTGAACATACTATTCTTATACTCTTGGTTAATACATCTTATTACATTGTCTTAAGTTCTTAAGAGGACGTGATACCCGCATGTGTTGTCGGTGTCCTACAAGTGCGTAAGGCTCTATTAGTTCAAAAGTTAAAATGAATCGACCTCTTATAAAATTTAAAGGTAAGAATATTATTTGGACGATCTCATGGGCTTTTTACTATATTTTGAAAGCGAGTTATAAGTTATTTAAGATGTACAAAAAATTTGCTATTGAGAAAATACTTGAAACTCACTTCAAAATTAAAATATAGTAAAAAACCCACGAGGTCGTTCAAATAATATTCTTACCTTTAAATTTTATAAAAGGTGATTTCCCTTTAATTTTTAAACTAATTGAGCAAAGCGTGATCTGCCGAGCGTAAAATTTGGGATGTTACGCATTTGTAAGACGGAGACAACACATACGGGTATCACATCCTATTCCTCGAAAATACATCGTTAGTATTACTCTACCTATACTAAAAATAATAATTGATAGTCTTGTAGGCGCTTAATCGAAACAGTCGAAACGATAAGTCGATAATTACGAAAACTATAATAGACTATACTTATAATGTCGAGCCAATGGTCAAATGCACACAGCAGTGTCCTCTCAATTCCAATACACCACAGTCAAAAGTTTGATTCTAGTACCTACGTTGGGTGACGTCAATAGTTCAACACGTCATTAGACTATACGAGCACCAATACCTTTAAACAATATTTTATTTTTCAGTGATCACTATAATAGTTATGATTTATGACATTACGCATTACATTAGTCGATGTATCGAAGTAGTTTGTTTTTTGTATTTATCGAAATGATTTAATTATAATATAATATTAATATAATTTTATTGATAGTAAATAAAAAAATAAAAATAATAAACAATTAACGCAACAAACCACGTGTTCAGTACGSATAAAAACCGTATAATATATTATTCTTTTAAGGTACCTAGTACCTACGGCATAAAAATATGTCTGAAGAAAGTCAGAACAAGGGGCAATAATATTATAATAATATTATCGCGAGCTTTATTTTAGTAGGAATTACAATATACTGTGATCGATGGTTTTATTATACAACATAATTAACCGTCTAATTATCTATCCATAGAAGTGACATGGCTTATTTTTGTCAGTAATACGTCTCACTGCTAGTCTATGTGTACTTGAAAATTTATTATTGGTAGATTTCTAGAGTAGTATACCCACAATTTAGAGTGTAAAATGAATATAGATGATTTATTTTCGGTGAAATGTTTATTAAATAAAATGTGCGAAGCCTCACGTGTTTAATGCGATGTATGCATAGCATGTAAGTATTCTACTAAAAAGTGTGTGGACACAAAAAATGACAATCTATTCTGATTAACTAATTAAATCGTTTTATCCACTATAATAATATATAATATTATGCAACAAATGCACGTACCTTTTCCAAGAAATCGATGCATCCTTGGTCGGCCATGTTCGTCCGAAATCGTCGTGTCAAGTAATTAATATTCTTATTATAATATATTATTTTACTCGCGGAATCGCTGGCGGGCGGATGAGCAACCGAGTGGGACGCGTTGACGATAGTTGTGGTCTACTAGTAAAATAATATTATAATATTTTTTTGATATTATGATTATTAAAAGGCAGAATATTATACTAGACGCGTATTATTATGGTTAAATCGGCGGCCGAAAAACGTGAAAAAAATAAATAGTTTTATGAGACCAATGCGCGACAAGTGACTATTACAAAACGACGTTCGGCAAAATAATATCATCTGATGATATTTTGATTGTTATAAATATTATTACTATATCATATAGGGAAAGCGGCGGTGACGGCGGATGAACGAGCGGAAATGACAGAAACGGATCGAACGATCGAAGCGTCGACGTCCGCGGTGGAGGTACGCACTGTATTACCTGCGTATCGCGCAATTCACCGAAAAACGTGAGAGGGACGACGATAGACAGTTGTGCAATAACATTCGTGGGGCTATTAATAATACATGACAATAATAATATTATCTTGACAACAATAAAATACGGTTTGCCGTGTTCGGGAGTTGGGGCGAACGAGACGGACGATATAATTTTGTCGTAATCTGTGTAGATAACGAGACGAACGCGATTATGATACACTGTTTGGCYATAACCTGAATTATATTTTGTGCCCGTTGCCGACGACGCGACGGTTTTAACGACGAATTTTTAGATAAAGCAATCGCGTTTTAAACAAAAATCGTGTACCAATATTGTCATAAATTAATAACATAATATTATACATGATAATATGATAGTAAGTCAGAAGGTTGCGGAGGAGGTAACCTTTCTTTAGCGTAATAATAAGTTTAATTAGGTACAGGTAATACCCACTACCAATGACCGATGAAAAATGGAATATGGAAGGGTCAAGACAATGTCGGCCGGAATTTGTTTTTTGATAAAATTAACTAGGTATTAACTTTATTTACAAATTAAAATTAATTTTATTAATGGTAATTAAATATTTTTTTTTAATTAGACACTCCTAAAAAAAACTTTTGAATTATGAAAAATGAATAATTCTGACATTATCAGTGGGTGATAGATTATAGAGAGTTGTTGGTCAAGTGGTAAACTGCAAGCACACGCCGTACCTATCAATAATATGTTGTCCACAATATATCGTTGTAAAAACTGTTTCTGTTAGATATATCACTATATATCACTATATATTTCTAGTTTCTTAACAAGTTTCGATTATTAATATTATGATTACTTAGCCGTTGGTTATTCTTATTTTATGAAATCACCGCTTTAACATTAAATTATTTTTAAATGCTTCATCAAGTCTCGTATTTCAAGGTATTAATTAGATTAAAAACTTAGATTATTCGTACTAAATCTACTGAAAAATTATTATTAATTCACGCTGTTTTCTCGTTGATAATTTGATTTAATACAATAATTATTATTTTAAATTTACTAACTTATAATAATTATTGTATATTATGTTCTAACTAATAATTAAACTTTTAATTAAATTGTACATAATTCCACGTCATAATGCAATTAATTAGGTATCTAATTAGAGGAACAAAAGTTAATTAATTTAAAATTAAAATAATATTTTTATTTGATAAAATTATTATTTGTAGTATATGTGGCTATATATTTTAAATTATTAGACAAAATATATCGAAAAATATATAAATAACATCCTCACTTTAGTAA